ATATATCTTACCTTTATGGAGGACTCTTGATGGCATATGGAAGATGGTGAGGAGGGGGGAGGAGAGGTGTTACGGTTTGGATGGGGAGTCCCCTTCCATTATAACATCAGGCAGTGATGACTTTTCTGGGATACACACTCTGGCATGTTTTGCCTACATACCACTAGGACTGTCTTGTGGCTCACTGCTTGATTATCTTACTACGAATCTGTCTAAAAACACTTGTTTTTCCCCTACATTTTAACACTTGTCTGTAATAAGACATCACATTATCATTTAAAAGGTCAATGCAACGGCCTGCTATAGCTTTATCTGGGTGAGTTTTTTCAACAAAACTTTGTAGTTCTTCCCATACTTCACACATTTTCTTAACGAGGAAGGGATATCCTCTACTGCCTCAACTCAACTATTTTCCTAGGTTGAACCTTACCACTGACTTTCTGGGACCCACGGCGTGATATATAATAATCAATTTTATGTTCAAAAAGAAAAAAATCAACACAAAAATGGAATTTCTTATAGGTGTGATCATCACTAAGCAGGCAGCTCTAGTAAACTGAGGCAGGTTAGCCCGCATGACTGACAACCACGCGCTCGGTCGACCCAAACATGTACCAACAAATATCGTTAGTCGAGTCGCATTTTTCGATCAAATTTACATCGTAACTCGAAATTGTCGTAAGTCGGGGCAATCTTAAGTCGAGGTGCCACTGTACTTTCTTAATCTGCAATAGACTCTGTGGTATGCAAATGTCTACATTTCTTCTCTTAGTTTCAAATTTTGCAGCTTTGTCTGCAAAGTCATTTCCTATTATTCCTACATGACTTGGCACCCAGTTGATAAGTACCCGACGGCCTTGACTGTCTCAAGTGTTTGCAATAATGATATTTGTGATCAGATGGATGTTATCATGTATGTGTCTTGTTGCAAGGTTTCAATGGCAGTTCTCGAATCTGTATGTATGATAACATTGTTGGTGTTCAGCAAGAGCTGCAGTGATTGACTATGTCGCTCCTGCACTCATAAGCCTATCAAAATAAGTGGAAAAAGCTTGAAGTAGCTCAAAAGAATGCATTGAGAGCTGCCCTGGGACCCCTATGTGGACCAGGCTTGAAACTAAGACTGGAAACGAGTTTGCCCTCTTTTTAAGAAAGAATATCTCAAAGAACAGCTACAATTATCAGCAAGATAATTGTTTCTCCTGATCCAGTCCCAGTACACAGGCCTTGGTGGTTGGACTTGACCAAAACAATGAAAACTCTTGGGCTGCCAGAGTAGAAGTCCTAAACAGATACAATTAAAAAATATGACTTGATAGAGATGATCAACCACACCTAAACTACACTTGTTCCCCACCGTGGGAGGAGCTTACCTTAAAAATAGTTATAGAAGGTCTTCTGATGAAAAAGGCTGCCTATGATCCAACAATCCTAAAGCACATCACAGAAAAGCAAATGAGCATTATTGCAGCAGTAGGAGCCACCCACATCTTCACAGACAGATCGGTGGACATAATATGCGAGTGCTGGTGTTGCCCTTTGACCAGACAGCGAACAGGCATACTGGAGACTAGGAGGACCAGTATCATCAACTTAAACTGAGCTATTTGCCATACAACAGACACTCATATGTGTGATTGCACAAAACACTCAAAATGCAATCACACACTCAAGACTCAAAAGCTGCACTTCAAATATTAGGAAAAAAGCAGTAGAAAGCCAACTTTAAAACAATTACCAGCATTTTGTATCTTGGAGCTGTATCTAAAGGCAAAGGACTCAACATAACCTTAAACTGGATCCCATCCCATGTTGGAATCCCAATCAATGAGAAAGCCAATGAAACTGGTAAATTGGCAACTCTTCATCCAGTGATTCACAAAAGAATCCAACCCAACCCATTGGTACCTCCCTTTTTCAATTTAATCCGTTCCCAGAGATGGTTCGAAAACCGAAAATTAAAAAAACAAAAAAACAAATTTTCCCATAAGAAATAATGTAAATTAAATTAATCCATTCCACACCCCCCAAAATATTAACTTAAAAACACATTTAATACAGAATACTACCAACATTTTCCACACAAAACATTCCGGTATAAATATTAACCATAAATAAAATATGTGAACATTGAACTGTACTTTACCTAGGACTCTACTTGATCAGGTTGTGGGAGTAGTTGTTCTCCCCAAGCCTGGTTGATACCTGGTTGATGGGGTTCTGGGAGTTCTTCTACTCCCCAAGCCCGGCCCGAGGCCAGGCTCGACTTGTGAGAGTTTGGTCCACCAGGCTGTTGCTTGGAGCGGCCCGCAGGGCCACGTACCCACCAGAGCCCGGCTGATCCGGAACTTCTCTTAGAAAACCGTCCAGTTTTCTCTTGAAGATGTCCACGGTTGTTCCGGCAATATTTCTTATGCTCGCTGGGAGGACGTTGAACAACCGCGGACCCCTGATGTTTATACAGTGCTCTCTGATTGTGCCTATGGCACCTCTGCTCTTCACAGGTTCAATCTTGCATTTTCTTCCATATCGTTCACTCCAGTACGTTGTTATTTTACTGTGTAGATTTGGGACCTGACCCTCCAGTATTTTCCAGGTGTATATTATTTGGTATCTCTCTCGTCTCCTTTCTAGAGAGTACATTTGGAGAGCTTTGAGACGATCCCAATAATTTAGGTGTTTTATCTCGTCTATGCGTGCCGTATATGTTCTCTATAGCCCAGCCCAAGCTTGAGAGAGCCCGGTCCAACACTTGGTGGTGTATGGGAGACGGTGAGGAAGGGTAGGGAGGGAGGAGTGGTGTTGGTGTATGGGGGAGGGTGGAGAAGGCGGCGAGTGTTTAGAAGGACTGTCCCCTGCTCGCCTTCAAGGCTTTCATATCTGCATTACTGGTTCCAGATTTTCCTTTCACACATTTCACTGCCTCGTATGTGGCAGTCAGTCAGAACCAGTCAGTTACAGTCACAACATGTCAGTCAGGCATTCACAGTCAAGACCAGTCACAGGCAGTCATGCATTCACAGCTGTGGTAGCAATTGTTGTGGTTAAGCATATACGGTCAGTCAAGCACTCACAGTTACAACCAGCCATTCACAGTTGCAACCAGTTAGTTAGTAAACAAAAAGAGTTTAATGTCAAGCGCTCAGGAAATTTGCCTCTCGATCCATCAGCTGGTAGTAAAGAAGTCCACTGTATTAATACCGTCTGGGTACCAGTGTGGGGGATGAGGAGATGGATGTAGCGGGGAGGGGTGGGATGGAGGTAACAAAGAGGGTACAGGATGGGGAGGGGGGGGGGAATGGACGTAGCATGGAGGGTGCAGGATGCAGGCTTGCCTTGCCTCCCATCTCTGCACCCACCACCTCTGTCTACCATCTACCACCTGCTCGTTCTGCTGCCTGCAGGCCCACTATGCCCAGTCTGCCAACCATCTCACTACTACCCGCCTGCACACACTGACACCGGCCCGACCACTGCTGCCCGCCTATCCACCCACTTTGCCACCCCTCCCTGCTACTCGTCTATCCACTCACTCTCACTTGCCCACCTACTCGCCCTCAACGTGTTCATCCCTTACATAATTCTAGGGCTGGTGCTTCTGATTTTCTTCCCCTTCCTCCTACCATCCTTCCTGTCCTACTCACCTGCCATTCATCCAATCCCCCCCACCATCCATCCATCCCATTCCTCCCCCCCCCCCCACCATCAATCCCATTCCCCCCACCATCCATCCAGTTCCCCCCCCCCCCATCATCCAACCCCCTACCATCCATCCTGATGTCCTCCCAAATACAATATTCAAGTACGATCCTAAACAAGCGGGATAAACTGATAAACTATGCACGCCTCGCCCCTTGCCCAGCAGAACTCGTCGACCCATACGTGTATCAACAAACTCTAGCACCAAGGCAAACCTCAAGTACCGAGTCGAGTTTTTCAAAGAAATTGTACTCGAGAACTGAAAAATTCGAAAACGGGCATTCGAAAACCGAGGTTCCACTGTACGTAAGAAACGCCATCACCAAAAAACTCGCTCACCTCAACTAAGCCCATCTACAACAGAGTAGCTGAAGGTTTGTCCTTTGCAATATGGTATCTTCAGGCCACCAAGTTAGTCAGGTTAAATATCCCAAAAGGAATCCACAGGGAAATAACAGTTCGTTTATATAAGCTATGTCTAGGTTACAGATGAAACTGCGAAATTGGTGAACCCAGACAGAGGGAATGCATCTTCTGCCAAACAATCATAGAAAAGCCACTACTTCACTATCTCCTGGAATGTCAAGCAACTAACGACTTGCGAAGATATTTAGAGTCCCTCAATCCTGCAGTAACCACCCTGAAGCCATCAACACTGCCACTCTCCTGGTCAAAAAAGGTGTCCAGCAGCTGAACACCCTCAAATACTATCAAGCAGTATCCTCCCTTGCAATAGCAGCCTGAAAATTTAAATGCAACCTCAGCACACAGTATACAGTATTGTATATTAGCAACAGCTCCTGCCAAGCGAATAGTCTTGAGCAACTTCGCTGGGAAGCTCGCTGCAGAAGCGAGCATGAATCGACATACAATTTCTTCACTCCACCGCAGCCGTGGTAAATAATTTTTCGTTATTTTCCCCATGATCCGATGCCTTTTTACAATATTGTTGTAATTGTTTAATTCCCCCCCCCCCCTCCATGCACCAGGCCACTGTATAAACAGGAGTGCAGCCCAAGGGTTAAAGATCACCTTCAAAAGATGATTGGATTTATGCTGATAAAAGCCCTTATGTTTAACAAGGCCTCTGGAGACTAAATCCCAAACTACACATGACATAAAACTCTTAGTAACACTAACACCAATTTTGATACCACAAGGTTGGATAAAACAGATTTTGTTATGTGTAATACTCACTACTTACAATCATTATAGTATATAACAGTATTTAAACAATGCAGTACTGCAATGAACAGCAGCCACTATTATCGATAACATCAACAAATAGACAAAAGACATACCTGTAGGACAATATACTTCTGGAATGTATGCTTAATACAGCGCACCATATATTCTGTTTCAGCTTCAGTAAGTTCCAAGGGCACTGAGGACTTGAAGAGTGGTCCAAGATGAGCAAACTGAGGAATGGCTGCCAGCTGCTCAGCGTACCTTGAAAACAAAATGTTTGCTACATTACCTTATTTTTTTTCAGAAAGAGTATTGAGAAGATGACTATCACAACATGGTACACCAAGGTGCATTGAATGTTAAAACAGACTGCTATAAATTCTACATTAAAGACGAAGTCGAAATTATTAATGTGCAATGTGATGGTTTCTTAATGTAGGAGTAAAATGGTGAATTTGGCTTAATCCTATAAAATAAACAATGTGATATAACTTAAGAGCAAAGTTGGCACCAGACTGGGCTTGGAAAAGAAAGAGGGAGGAAAAAGGATGTGGATGGGGAACAACGAGGCTTGAAAGCTTGATGGCCTGTTAACCTTGGGTTGGCATTGGGTATTGGTCTTGAATGTTAACCTTGGGTTGGCATTGGGTATTGGTCTTGAATGTTAACCTTGGGTTGGCATTGGGTATTGGTCTTGAATGTTAACCTTGGGTTGGCATTGGGTATTGGTCTTGAATGTTAACCTTGGGTTGGCATTGGGTATTGGTCTTTAAGTTAGTGACAAGTAGTTTTCTCAGGTGAAAGGAGGCTTGTGGCGAGCTTTCTCCCTGGGAAAGAAGATTGTAGAAGTTCTTTTGTGTCCTGTGGGAAAGTGACACCTGCTGTGTTATGTGCTGTACATAAGTGTATATACTGTAGTTAATTAGTACACATGGGCATTGGTACCTGACAGCAGAGTGGACCACTTCGGATTCATAGTCCTAAGGTCTCCGATTCAATCCCCGGTGGAGGCAGAAACAAATGGGCAAAGTTTCTTTCACCCTGATGCTCCTGTTCACCTAGCAGTAAATAGATACCTGGGAGTTAGACAGCTGCTACAGGCTGCTTCCTGTATGTGTGGGAGTGTGTAACAAAAGGGAGGCCTGGTCGAGGACCGGGCCACGGGGACGCTAAGCCCTGAAATCATCTCAAGATATCAAGATGGTGATTTTTTGTTGTTGTTGTTGTTGTTGTTTAGCGTTATTTACCCACCATTCCAGTTGGACTATTACTACCAGTTCTTAATAACTTACCCATGACTCAGGGTTGGATCTAATAAGAAGAGGAATTAAAGCCCCATACAAAGTTTGATATGAAAAGAACCCGGTTACTGGCTAAGTGAGGCCGTAACAGTCAATTTCTGGGTGTAAGCAGGTAAGATCACATGAATCTTAGGCAGTTGAGGCCAAAATGACCCAGTTAGGGTAGTTTCCGTCGTTCTTTTGTTTGTAGGCTTTATTGTAAAAATTGGTGTGGACTGCCTTGACTGGTGGCGTCTCAATGCTGGTGCCGGGGTTCTTCCCAGAGATACATGATGATGTACATCCACCCTTTGAGAGATACAGTCTTGTAATCAACTCGTTCTGTAGAGACCGACATGTCGGCAATTAAACCTTCATAATCAGGTTCAGTAGTTGCATTGGTTTCTGCTAAGGCTTCTGCTCCACCTGATAGACTGGGTCTATCAGGTTTCTCAGGAGAAGCTGGTGGTTCTGTGACGGATGGTCCTAGTGGGGCTGGTGCATCAGCTATGGGTCAAGTTGGCTACTGGAGTAGGAGTAGTGGAGTCTGGTGGTTCGTGCTCAGCTGAGGTTAGGGGTCGGGGAAGCGGCGGGTGCTGATAGAATAAAGTTTCTAGTTTCTAGAAAGATACTCTTTCCATTTATGCCATAAATGCAGAATATGCCTTCCAGTAAAAAAGAAAGATGATTTAACATTTACTGACAAGAAAAATACAAGCCAACTAACTCGATATCAGTCATACATTTTCCAAATACAGTACAAAGGATATCAAACTAATCATCTTGAGGTTATCTTGAGATGATTTCGGGGTTTTTTAGTGTCCCTGCGGCCCGGTCCTCGACCAGGCCTCCACCCCCACGAAGCAGCCCGTGATAGCTGACTAACACCCAGGTACCTATTTTACTGCTAGGTAACAGGGGCATAGGGTGAAAGAAACTCTGCCCATTGTTTCTCGCCGGCGCCTAGGATCGAACCCAGGACCACAAGTCCAGCGTGCTGTCCGCTCGGCCGACCGGCTCCCCATAAGTACAGTATATTCATCAAGAAGTTATGTGCAATATTTTACTAAAAAAAAAAAAAAAAAAAAAATTATTGTCAGCCCTTCTGATATTTTCGTATTTACGTTTTCTTGACATGTCTACATTAAAAAAAAAATTAAATGTAATGAAACCCCTATTTCTGGTAGATCCTTAGTAATTACCCAGTGCTTACAAGTTGCTACCGCTATGCCCAAGTATCGTATCAGGTGCCGTAACTCGTGCTGACCTACTGGCATCCACGATCGGATATATGGTTCTCTTAAAAAATGATCTGACCTTGGGGACCAGAGATTGATTCAAAACTGAAGGAGGAGGGGGGAAATATGAAAATCAGGCATATGATAGTTCCTCCCTCTCCCCCCACCCCCCTAGGCAAACATCCTTAAACCTTAATTCACCCGACTGTCTCCAGATGGTGGCCTAGGTCAATCGGGGACTAAGAACTCATGAGCCATCAGTACAGAGCCCAAAACAGCTCTACAGGGAAGAAGGGCAAGACAGGTCGGGAACAGGAAAACTACTAAAAGGACACTAGAAAAGATCATTTCATTACAATCAACACTATATATCTGGAACAGTACCCCTCAGTGTATCCACTGTGCTCATTCCTATTGGTGCCTCGGATGAACCCGTCCGCTAAAATAGAACAAAATAATAAATACGTATGTAAGGGTATTTCTACAGTAGAGGACAGCAGAGGAGCAGACCTCAATATAAGGGAGCATCAAGAGGAGAGCCAGATGCCCAAGCACATCCAGACACAGCAAGGCCATGCAACGTCCAGTAAGAAGCAAGAGGTCAACACTGACCTCCAAAAATCCTAAGTTGTGATTGTTGCCGTGGACATTTTAGCAAAGAACACTGCCAAAGCTGCAAACTTCCACTCGTCATGGTAGACTCGGGCCATGGAGCAAGGAACTCCAGACAAAGAGAGTACCCCACCTAAGTAGTACAGGTAGCATACAAATAGTGCTGCACTGTGGCAACAGGTCCGAGTATGGCGATACCGTACTTTATTCTGATGCTGACCAATGGTAGAATTTACCAAGTCCAAGTACTCGTTCTGAAGATCAGAAATGATAGCATAGTGGACACATGCCCCTCTCTGCACCTCATGAGATTTCATCTGGATTCTAACCTTGGTCTGAGTGGATTAACTGGGTGCCAATCCTTAACTGTTTACCCAGCAGTAATTGGGGAATGGTTATTACCAACTACTTATTCCAACAGTTATTTCCTGTAACACAACCTACCAAATGACGAGTCATGTTCCAGGAAAACTAGTAGAGCATGGCATCCATAACATATTGGAACACTTTCATATTACAGATGTACTAGAGTACTCTTCATCTGTCACAAATAAAATTATCCTCTAAAAAGCTACTATAGTACTTCTTGTAAAACATTCCCATGCTTGCTACATCACAAACTCATTCGCACATTTTCAGCCACTGGGAGCTCCAACCATCAACCTTGCAAGGATGTGCCTTCTGCACCATTAACATTAACTATTCATTAACATGGTTATATTACCATATACCATGCTCCTAAATCTTATGGATCAGACTTAAATTAAGCAACTTTCCATAAAAAATTTTTTACCATACCCTTCAAATATTGCACATGACTAAGATTACATAGTTCTCCTGGTGAAGGTAACATTTTCTTACTAGTGCAGCACCAGTATTTCACAATCATACAGCAAGGGTTACAAGACTCCTTTATGTCGCTACTTCCATATATTGTTCACCCTCTTTTTCCACTTTTCTACGCTTGTCAAGGTCAGGTGCCACACACATTCTTGCATCTTAACATGAGAGGCAACTTTTTACACATGTTGATATACCATTATGTACAAGTGTTTCACAAACTAAATGTCTTAACATTTGGACTGGTCACAATTCTACAAAAGGCAAATTTTACTAGGAAGGAAAGTTTCCAATAGGAACAAGGCAAAGGTAAATTAATGTCTTATGGGTACAAAGTACAAAAATATGATGAGCATACTTTTCATGTGTGGGTATAATGCGTTCTTCTGGACGAGGTGCTGGTTCCATGATACTTTGAGATTTCTTTTCTTCCTGCGGAGGAGGAGCTGTGGGAATTGTGCGAGTGTCAAATGGTCCAGAAGTGTCAGTTCGTAAGTACTGAACTAAAGCACGTTCCAAGCTTGTCAGTGCAAACTAGGAGAGGAAAAATAAACCAAATTATCAACACGTTCTCCAACCATAGGCCAATTCCCCATAAAAAAACTTTCTTGAAAAATTTCAGTATGAAAGTTCAAGGAAATAAACAACATTAACCACAATACAAAGATAGGTATACCTGTGGAGGGTTGAGGATGTACTGATTAATAAGGGCACTATCACGGGAAGCCAAGACAGCATAGTAGTAAGTTGCGCGGTCGCGCACCTCATCTTCAGTGTCCATCATGCATCGTTGCAGTAACACTAAAATATTGCACAACAAAGACTCGCACTGTGCACCAAACTTGGCAAGGACCGATACAGCTGCTGCTCGCACTGCTGCATTCTGTCCAACAAAGTACAAATATTTTACAATTTTTAAATCATTAATCTGTTCACCCACTTTCATGGAGTGCAAAGGCAGGGAGGATGTTTGCATCCACAAAAATACAGTAATGTAGTTGGAAAAAATCAATTCATGAAAATAATAGGATTAGACAATTCAATAACATGAGAAATATAATACTGTGCATCAAGACAAAATTACTATAAATTAATTTAGGCAAATAGAAATTCTCATTATGTGGGAATTAAAATATAAAACGGGTATACTTGCTTTGGGGTACAGCAATCCAATAGATCTGGTAAGGGTACAGGATACACAAATGTTTAGAAATCCATCGTAAGAACTATACTGTATGATTGCACTATATTGTTGGGAACGAGCAAAGCACTAACCTCCAGAATGACACGATTGTAGACAAAGCGAATGTATCGGGCAGGCTGCCGAGTTCGTGGTCCTTCACGACCTAACAAGTGGATGATGCGCACAGCCAGTGTTGTGTGTTCACAATCCTCAATGAATTCACATAAATGATCCAGACCTGTAAGTTGAAAATTAATAGCAATTCTTTTATGGATGTTTATACTGTAATGGATAAAATGCCCTTCACTACAATCTGCTACAGTAACTAGTTTCATAACGTGCTTAACCATCCCATCATTAACTCTCATTCTATTTAAATAATCCTATTACAGAAGTCATTATCAGCAACACCTCCCTCTGCCGACTCTTGGTAGTGAGAACATGCTTCCCTTGCCTCTTAGCTAGAGGCCATTCTCCCTCCCCCCCCTTACTTGGTAATGAGAGGTTGCACCTCCTCTGTCACTTGGCAGCGAGGGGCCATGTAGTGCTTCGCCAATCACAAGCCCTCTTTAAGGGATATCTTGCATTCAAGCAGGATATCCCATCAAAACAGCACAGGTTTGTACTTAAATTATCTGTGAACCGAGAGTGTGAAACCGGAAGAGAGAGATGTATTATATTCCTGTATTGATGCAGACATACCCAGTCACGATCCTCACAGATTTTCCGGCACTGTGGCAAAGAAGCCGTGTAACGACTGTTAAAGGGGGTCATTTTGTATACCGATTATTATACCAGCCCATTACTATGTTCCTGCTTGAACAAATAACATTGGAGTCTGTGGCACAGTAAAGCCACAATGAGAAATGCCAGTGTCTGGTACAGGTATTTCAGTAGGTAAATGAAGGAGGGGGGAAGGGGGGGAGGGAGAAGGAGACTGTTGTTATCGCTGCAGATTAAAGACACAGTAAATGGGGGCCCATTTTACTGGCAATGGGCTTATTTCCCTCCCCTCTTTTTTTTTACTGGCTTTTCCCAGTAAAGTAGGCTCAAAGTCAAACTGTAAGAGGCAGCAGTATTGAGCATTAACCAATTTATAAAAAAGCCAGTAAAACAAAAGACATGACCACAAACTGACAAATGCAATACAAACAAATTTGCAGCTTGTAAGCCAAGCAAAGAATGATACACAAAATGTGAAAAACTCCAAACTCGGTGGAGAACCTCAAGCCATCGAGATAGGACTACCCACCAATCCACTGGGAGATACAAAACCTCTGGAAGGGAACTGAATGAGGGTCACCCCCCTCAGTAGGTAATTGGATTTGGAAATTTTAAGTATTGGATACACACAATGCTGTTGCATAATCAATCTTGGATGCATTAAAATAATAATACAAAGAGCTTTAATGTCCTAGGGAAGCCAAAAACTACTTTGTTTTACATATAAACTGCATACACAGAGCTACCAGTGGTACTATTACATCCACAAATCAGCCACACAAATGACTATTGTGCCGTTGACAGACCCTGCTTGATGGGCCGGTACCTGGCTGTGATCGGGAGGTCGAAAAAGGGTAGTTACCGGTGGCCAGTTATCGGTTGCAATGTGTCGCACAGTTTCATTCACTTTTTCTACATGAATCTATTTGTACTTATTAGCAATGTACTCTACTTTCAGTACAGTTTGCTTTGGTGGTAGATTTATCCTTGTTCCCCACGCTTCCCTCACCTTCGTTGACAACCAAATCTTTATCCTGAGTTCTCCTAGACTACAAAAGTCAACAATGGCCTGACTAGCCCCATCAAATCAGTGCCTTAGCTCAGGGAAGCAAGTGTTATAAACACAGAAAATAACTTGGTTATGTGGTAAGAACTGTGATTGAACTAAACCACTAAGAAAAATGCCTTATTGTTGATTTTCACTGAATAAGCTTGTATAGACTGAAATTCATACAATCAACATTTTTCTTCCTAACTACTTAAAATATCATTTTTGCAATTTATGTAACATCACAGGAAGATCTGTTTACCTTTCTCCTTGGCTTCAGGATTATCCTCAATTATAGTGATGATTGTACTGGCAATTGCTTCTTTGTATGGAAGGCCTCCCTCACTGCGCAGCATGTCGGCCAACTGGCCCATCAGCACTGCTTGTTTCCTTGGATACTTCAATGCCAGTGCTCGCAAAGCCTACAAAGTTACAAAACTGCCGTGACAAAACATTTTAATTACATCAAATAGATAATCCAAGAAGTACACATGGTGTTAAAATATACAGGGCAACAAATCTAAGTTTCATGGAAAGATGGGTGCTGCTTTTACAACCGAGGATGTCAAGAAGCCAACCACGATACCGTATTTACACCGCATTAGCCCATAAAGTCACCACGACACTAAAATACACTCACCTCAACAACAACTATTTTAAATTCATCTGAAATGTCATTAAGGAATGAGGAGATCGACTTCATGAGGCGGTCCACAGATCCCTCGGAGCCAGTCTTGAGAAGCGTAGTGATTGCGAGAGTAGCTATGGATCGATTCACATCTTGGATCAAGTTCTCAAGGTCCAAATTGCAGGCTGTGACTGCATTAGGCTGTGTCATTGCAACTTTACTAAGGGTTCGTACTGCTGCAAATCTGGCAGAGCAAGTATTACATTAAAACAGACTGCACATTTACAGTATATATCTATCCATACCCCATTTATTAATTTTTTTTTTCCCAGAGAAAAAAAAAATTGGAAGCAATTTAGTGAGAAAATTAGCTAAAAAGCTATCTACATGGCAAAGGCATCATAGATAAATGAATAAAACATACGAAACTTACTGTAAAGAAAAAATAGAAATATACATATACTGTACAGTATACATATAAAAGAGGTATCACCTCTTGTGCAAGTGTAGGGACCCATAGCCTTGAAGAAAATAAAGAGTACTCAGAGAAGACCTTGTGGATCCTCACTGAACACTTTGATATTGTCTTCTACCACCCCCTACTCTTTTAGTATGTGTGTATGCTGTATGTAACTCACTTTATTTAAAATCTCATTACACAAAAAGGGTTACAACATTGGTTACTTTTGTTACATGCCGGGTTACTCTTCACAAGTTGTAGAGTTCCTTCAGCTCCTCAGATGGCGGGCAGATACCATGGATGCAGTGAGCATTTCCTCTCTGGATCGCCATTCTAAGACGCTGAAAGAGGAAACTGGCGGCTCTAGGGTCTAGTTGTTTTAATTAGCTTTGAACCCAGCTCCTTCAAAAAACTAGCAGAACTTTTACCCCAGGCACCAAGCGTCTCTGAGGCAACAAGGACAAAATTGTAGGTGATCAAGATCTCTGTATTTACAAGACTTGGCTGCTTCCCGGCGATTGGCAGCACCTCCTGCTTGTGCAACTCTGAAGTCAACATAGGTGTTGGCTAAAATTGAAACGCAAGTGTAGTCCTACACCAACTGTTTACCATTCTTCCAGGGGTTCACCATGATACCGTCTGGGAGACCGACAGGCTCATCAGAGTTGCGGGGCACTAGGTAACGGGGCTCTCTCTCTCTATTGGACAACCGGCTGTAGTAAAGCTTCTCTTAATGATGTCATTAACCTTGCCGTGTCTTGCATGCCATCCTCCTGTCCTTTGGCAGAGAAGGCCATGCCGTCCATACCTGTCAGCCATTGCCTCGCCGCAAATACACCTGAATTCGGTGTGGATTGGGGCAGCGAGGCGGAGAGCCACAGAAATTCCAAGGGCCTGCGGTTTGAGACGCGTGCCAGTTGCTGACATTGGGGTTGCTAATAGGAAGTCACCTGCATGGAGAGCTGCTACAGCTCTAAGTCGGGCAGTGTCATGTGGTGTTGCAGCTCCTTTTTCGGCAACGGGGTGATCCCAGCTGGATTGCTTATGGGCTTCAGAAAATGGTGGTTGGGGTGCTGGTCTTGTGAGACACCCATTTGGTGGTCCAGTCTGTAAAGCTGGGATCTTGTACCCCTGCCCGTTGAACTAGGTATTCAGGGAAGATTTCCTTCACAAGGTTGTCAGACGCCACTGAAGAGGACAGGAACGCTGGTACTGCAATTTGTGTTGCTGTGCAAATGTTCACATTTATTAATGTGAACGTTTCACATTAATAAATCATTTCTAAAACTGGTGTTTTAATAACTATTATCCTAATTAAACTAAACTAAATAAAACCAAAAATATACTGTAATAAGATAGATATCTCCTATTTGAGAAATTATTCACGTCATTGGCAGCACAACTCCAGCATGAGTGGATAGGTCTAATCCCTGTCCATACAACACCATGCTTGTTGTGTTCGATTTCGTCGCCACAGTTCAGTGATCTATGGCTTCGAAATAATAAAATTAATAAATCAGTTCCAAAGTAAGTATTTTTTATAGCTCTTATTATCGTAATAATGTTGCTAAACTAAATATGTAACCCAAAAATATATAATTTGATGTAAATTGAATATTTGAGAGAAATTTATGTTACTGGATCAGGCTTAAACACCAGCCTACTGAAGGGTGTACGTATAGACTTAGTCTGCACTCGTACAGTATGCACCCAGTGCCTTTAGCTTTGTCTGCGATTGACACAGTATTTATCTGCCGGTGGAAGAATAATCGTGGAATTGACCATTTTTTTACTACAGCTCTTTGGTTATAAAACAAAATGTCTCAGGGGCTTACTAATAGTGCCTTATTAATGCCAAAAATGAAGCAATATTTTGCAAGAACTAGTAGTAGAAAATCAACCAGCGCGAGAACAGCCGTACCCAGCACGAGAACAGCCGTACCCACCACGAGAACAGCCGTACCCACCACGAGAACAGCCGTACCCAACACGAGAACAGCCCTACCCAACACGAGAACAGCCCTACCCAACACGAGAACAGCCCTACCCAACACAAGCACAGTTGTACCCAGCACTGGTACAACAGCAGCCAGCACCAGCTCAGAAGCAGCTGAACCCACAGCAGCAGCGAGCACCAGCAAAGCTGATGCAAACATCTAAAAACATCGTGTGCAGCGTGAACAGTTAGAACAGGTGTTAAATTTAAGTGTGTACACAGTGTTAAAATTAAGGTTGCAGTACTGTAATTTTAGTGTACAATAGTTTTCATAAACTGTATTGTAGTACTCAACATACAGCAGAACTAGTATTAATCAACACAGTGCTAACGGCATAATGCACTGCAGTACGTATTTAATGTAGAGCATTCACAACTTCACGAAACTTCAAGATGGACATAGCTTCAACAATAAGGTAAATTTATGAATTACAGTATTTTTTTAGTAGAGAAGTAATATATAGGTAGAGTATGTAATATGATAATGCATTTTTATTGTGTACAAGAAAAAAAAAAAAGACTGACACAAACGCCTCCTGTAGGTCACCTCTTGCAACGAATCCAACGCTCCAACGAACTGGGGTTGGTCCCATATAGTACGTTGAATCGAGGTTGTACTGTATATACAGTACTGTATATACAGTATTATATATACAGTACAATATGTACTGTATATACATTGGAACCTCGGTTGACTAATGCCCCCCTACGAATTTTTCGGTTTACAAGCTCAATTTCTTTGTAAAATTTGACTCTGTATATGAGTTTGGCTTTGCTTAGCGAGTTTGTTGATGCACACATAGGTGGCCCAAGTATGTGGTTCCTGATAGCAAGGGCGAGGCGCGCTTCATTTTACCAGTGTCTACTGCCTAGTGATGATCACGCTTGAATATTGTATTTGGAAGGACAACAGGATGGATGATGAGGGGACTCAATAGATGGATGGATGGTGAGGGCAGGGATGGAACTGGATGGACGGATGGTGAGGGTGGGGATGGAACTGGATAGACGGAGGATGGAACTGGATGGACGGATGGTGGGGCGGGGATGGAACTGGATAGACGGATGGTGGGGCGGGGATGGAACTGGATAGACGGAGGATGGAACTGGATGGACGGATGGTGGGGCGGGGATGGAACTGGATAGACGGATGGTGGGGCGGGGATGGAACTGGATGGACGGATGGTGGGGCGGGGATGGAACTGGATAGACGGAGGATGGAACTGGATGGACAGATGGTGGGGCGGGGATGGAACTGGATAGACGGATGGTGGGGCGGGGATGGAACTGGATGGACGGATGGTAATTACCTAAGTAATTACCTAAGTGTAGTTACAGGATGAGAGCTACGCTCGTGGTGTCCAGTCTTCCCAGCACTCTTTGTCATATAACGCTTTGAAACTACTGACTGTCTTGGCCTCCACCACCTTCTCACTTAACTTGTTCCAACCGTCTACCACTCTATTTGCGAAGGTGAATTTTCTTATATTTCTTCGGCATCTGTGTTTAGCTAGTTTAAATCTATGACCTCTTGTTCTTGAAATTCCAGGTCTCAGGAAGTCTTCCCTGTCGATTTTATCAATTCCTGTAACTATTTTGTATGTAGTGATCATATCACCTCTTTTTCTTCTGTCTTCTAGTTTTGGCATATTTAATGCTTCTAACCTCTCCTCGTAGCTCTTGCCCTTCAGTTCTGGGAGCCACTTAGTAGCATGTCTTTGCACCTTTTCCAGTTTGTTGATGTGCTTCTTAAGATATGGGCACCACACAACAGCTGCATATTCTAGCTTTGGCCTAACAAAAGTCATGAACAATTTCTTTAGTATATCGCCATCCATGTATTTAAATGCAATTCTGAAGTTAGAAAGCATAGCATAGGCTCCTTGCACAATATTCTTTATGTGGTCCTCAGGTGATAGTTTTCTATCTAGAACCACTCCTAGATCTCTTTCTTTATCAGAATTCTTTAAAGATTTCTCACATAATATATAGGTTGTGTGGGGTCTATGTTCTCCTATTCCACATTCCATAACATGACATTTATTAACATTAAATTCCATTTGCCAAGTGGTGCTCCATATACTTATTTTGTCCAGGTCTTCTTGAAGGGCATGACAGTCATCTAAATTTCTTATCCTTCCTATTATCTTAGCATCATCAGCAAACATGTTCATATAATTCTGTATACCAACTGGTAGATCATTTATGTACACAATAAACATCACTGGTGCAAGAACTGAACCCTGTGGTACTCCACTTGTGACATTTCTCCATTCTGATACATTGCCTCTGATTACTGCCCTCATTTTTCTATCAGTCAGAAAATTTTTCATCCATGATAGAAGCTTACCTGTCACCCCTCCAATATTTTCCAGTTTCCAGAACAACCTCTTATGTGGAACTCTGTCGAAAGCCTTTTTTAGGTCCAGATAGATGCAGTCAACCCAACCATCTCTTTCCTGTAATATCTCTGTGGCTCGATCATAGAAACTGAGTAAATTCGATACACAGGATCTTCCAGATCGAAAACCATACTGTCTGTCTGATATTATATCATTTCTCTCTAGGTGTTCTACCCATTTAGTTTTGATTAGTTTTTCCAATACTTTCACTATTACACTTGTCAATGATACAGGTCTATAATTGAGGGGGTCTTCCCTGCTGCCACTTTTGTAGATTGGAACTATGTTAGCCTGTTTCCACCCGTCTGCTACGATTCCTGAACACAGGGATGCCTGAAAGATCAGGTGAAGTGGAATGCTGAGCTCAGATGCACATTCTCTCAGAA